TGGCGGGACGACCTGCGCCGACGCCTGCACGCCGCCGGCACGACTCGGTCGAAGTCGCTACCGCTGATGCTCACACTTGACGGCCGTCGAGGCGAGTCAACGCCCCAAGCTGCCCCGCTGCGATATCAAGGCGAGCCTGATGGCCTATTTGCCGCCAGTCCCAACATGTTCGTACATTTGCACACACACCTTAATCCTCATTGGAAATTCCTTCAGCTCCGTGGTCCAACTGTGTTAGTAAAAGCAGCGGGCGCTGGAGTAGTTCAAAAACGCTATATTATGACCTCGAAGGCTAGACTTGTATGTGGCACCAATGTAGTTACACTCCCCAGCAGCACAAGGCAACGTTTCTTTTACGCAGCATCGGGTATGGAGTACTAGTGACGCACAGCCGAGGCCGTAAGCACAAGCACGTTGCCTTCGCAAACAGAAGCATCAATAACAAACAAAAGTATCGATTTCGTCTAAATGGAAGTACGATTGGAGTATATCTTCATGCTTTGATACAACCAGCGTCAAATTGCAAGTCCAGCCATACACATGTGCAATAGATGCTCGCCTTCAACTAAGCAACTGACGTTTGCGATAAGCTCTACCTGGGAGGACAAAGACATTCACCGCAAGACATTTCCAGAAATGAGCAAACTCAAGACAGTCACATGGACTAGATTCGCATCACCCTGTCAACATGACAGTCCTTCACGTGCGCTCTGGTTCGCTCCGTTGCACCAGTATGTTCGTCCAGTGACCCCGCCGCGGAGGGTTGGCGCCGTCCGATGCGGGCAGCGCCACGCCTCCCCGAGTCAGCCGACCCCTCGCGGAGTCTCGCGAACACCACCCTCACGCGACTGCCATCGCCGTCGCCTGCAATATGTTCGTACAATGGTCCGATGTTGCTGTTTTCGTATCTTCTCACTTCAGCAAGCAGATTGGTGGGCTTGTGTTTTCTTCGTCTTGTGTGCCAGACCAGCACCTGACAGGCACGTAAAGCGTCAAAACGGGAGCTAGTTCAGGGCAGCGGTAAACACACCACAAATGCACTAGAGGGCCAGCGAAGTACGCCAGCCAAGAACGCGTTACGGGCGGTGGCTATGCCACATTTCATTACCGGCCCCGTGCGCTGAGAGTCGAAACACGTCATCCGTGCCACTTAGGTAATGCCACATAGCTCCGAGCCAATTAGGCGTTTAAGAAGTGCATCGATTCCATCGGTCTACAAGAATATGTATGACATTTCCGTTCACCATTTCGAGTAGTCAACAAAAACTCTATCCTCATTACAAAGCAGCTCTTTGTGAGAAGAGCTGGTATTGGCTCTGCACAGACATCGAGGTATTCATCGGGGTCATTACCTAACGTCCGGTCATTTCCCAACGGACAACCCCGTCTCGTCCACGGCACCTAGGGCTGCTACGCCCCGCCCGCACACCCAGAGTTGCCCCGTCCGCCCACGGCACCCCGTGCTGCCCCATCCCGCCCACAGCACGCCAGGCTGCCCCGGGCAGCGCACCTCCGTGCACAGGTTGGCCAGTGGTTCGATGTCGTGTACATTGACGTTGAGGTTCTGCAGCAGCTTGTCCTCTTCATAGCCGGGGTGGTAGGGCATGGTGCCGCTGCTGGCGAGCACAACACGCAGATTCAGGGCGAAGCCGGCCATGTCCACCGCGAACTGGCGGCCGGCTGGCCAGCTGTCGAAGAAGCCCGTCACTTTGCCCTGCCGAAGAGGAGGCGAGCAGGCGTCATCCGTCTGATCCTCCACTGAGCAGGCCAGTCCAGCGTCAATATCACCGGTAACAGCCGCCGCCTGGTCCTCCACTGAGCCGGCCAGCCAGTCATGATCACCCGTAACAACCGCCGCCTGATACTCCCCTGAGTCGGAGAGCCAGTCATCATCACCGGTAACAACCGTCACCTGGTCCCGATGGTTATCTGGTTGCAGTCAGCTATGAGCTGTCCATCCATGTCCATATATTTCGTAACTTTCCACAAGATCCAGCGGCTTTTTAGAAGTTACACGTCATCATTGATAAAAAACGGGCATAAAAGAGACAATGCGAAACCTAATAAAAATAGCCTAACACATCACACATCGGTCAAGGGATCATCTCGGTGAATCACACTGCTGCATTCACATCGTAGCATCACACACAATCGAATTCACACATGCACCTACTCATGTGCCAACATTCGCCTCACTCAGTAGCAACTCCATAAGTTGGCGCTTGAAGCGGCCTAGACTCTGAACATTGCGCAAGTCGGGCGGCAGGCAGTTAAACAAATCCGATGCTCTGTGGCTAAATCGGCGCGTGCCAGAGGTGCTCACCGCTCGGGGGCGCCTCAGCTGGTTAGCCTGTCGCGTTTCATGAGTGTGCTCAGCACGTGTGAACATCGCGGCCATATCTGGTGGCTGACCCGTGGGTAAGACTTTTTTGAGCACAGCATCCATCCATCATCCACCATCAGCACAGCACAGGGCCACACCCACCTACCTCCACCCCTGCCGCCCCCACCCAAATCCCGGTGTGGTACAGGTGTGGCTCGCAGGCACTAGGTGACGCTCTGGACGGTGTTATTACCGGTCTCCTCTGACATGTAAGCCTTCAACAATCGGCTTTCTCTGCCATCACAATGGCTAACACTAGAGTAAGTTACGATCCAACCCGGTGTTTAACAGAGCGTGTGTATCTCCGGTTTCAAAACCATCTTGTACAATGTATATCCCCCATGTGCACTCATAAAACCTGCTGCGACGCCCGTTCATTCCCGAAAGCCAGAGATGATTACTGTCCCTGGGGGCGTCAAACCCCAATGATGCTCGAGTTCTGCCAACACGCGTGAAGGATTCATCCACGAGCGGGACGGGTGAGTGCCGATCGTGCCTTATCCGGCTGCAAGGGTCGGTAAGGACACATCGACAGTGAACAACATTAGCAACACAAGCCTTAGTGTAGTCCAAACACAGAGACAACCGCTCAGCCGTTATACAAGCCATCGGAGCTGCCTACTGCAGTCACGCGAGAGGCGGCGCTCTCTGTAGACCGTCTCCCCGGGCGGACGCACGGCGGCCACACGGGACTGCGCCCCCTGTGGACTGTCCCCCCCCCCCCCCGGCAAACACACTGCAGTCACGCGAGAGGCGGCGCTCTCTGTAGACCGTCTCCCCGGGCGGACGCACGGCGGCCACACGGGACTGCGCCCTCTGTGGACTGCCCCCCCCCCCCCCCCCCCAGCAAACGCACTGCAGTCACACTAGAGACTGCTGTCCCTCAGTAGACTGGTCCCCCCCCCCAGCAAACGCACTGCAGTCACACTAGAGACTGCGTCCTCAGTAGACTGTCCCCCCCCCCCCCCCCAGGCAGACGCACGGCAGCTCGTGGCTGGCCGGGCGGCGCCGTGCGCGGCCGCTGGTCAGCAGCCGACCACCGCGCGCGGTCAGACGGGGGCGGCAGATCTCACCTCTTCGGATGACAGGCGAACTGACCAGAAACTGCTCCATCAGGCCCACCGGGAACATGGACACCTTCTGCGTGTGGCGAATTTGCTCAAACAGCCTGCGGACGGGGGCGGGGGGGCAGGTCAGCCGACCGGACCGGGACGCCGGCCTCCCGCACACTTCAGCTGCTCAGACCCCGACACACTCCCAGGCTGCTCTTATCGTGGCAGAACAGTGACTAATACGGGGCTCATACGGCGGCCAATACGGTACCTAATACAGCGGCACGGTGGCTGTCGCAGAGCCTGATAGCATGAGATACATTCGATGCGGCGACCGACATGTGCAACCATCAATGCAGTCATGCAATCGACAAATGTGTGGCAATATGTGCAATGAAATCACCTAAGGACCCATAACCCAATGATGGATGCATTGATTTGGGATTCGTTGAGTCACGAAACAGTAAATGTGTCGGAATGGGCGTAAAACGTTATGTTGCTAACAAATTACTATTACAATTATGATTATATTACGATAAAAAATACTAATTAAAATTATGCTCAGAACCCTAAGATCACTACTTGGAAAAGCGCCTTCCGAAGTCAATCCCATTATGGCAGGAGGCAGTATGGCAAGTGCAATCGAAGGCATCAAACACGCCAGTTAGTCCACGAACGCGCAGCAGTCCGCTAGCGAAGAGGCCAGACTGAAAACATGGTCCCTCGCGCCCACCTCTCCTACATCGACGGCGCGCAGGTGCAAGCCACGCGTGCATTCCATGCCGGCATCAGTCCAAGCCTCCCGGACGAGCACACCTCGCACCAGTGACCTGGCAAGGCCTGAGAAGAGGACCAATCAGCCGTCGGCCCTCGCACGCCTCACCGGATGTCGACGGTGTTGTCGTCGTCCAGGAAGTACATCACGCCGATGGGTGAGGCGGCGCGCAGCCACTTGAGCGCCGCCCGTCGGTTGGACACGCCTCGTGGCAGGATGCTGAGGCCCTCGGTACCGGGCCGGCATGGCGCTGGCCAGATGCACGTACGGTATGCCTGCGGCACGGGGAGGCGGTGCAGCACACTCTCCTCACGGGGCCGCAGCGGCGCAGGTCGGGAGCGTCCGACGTCCCGCCCCTGGGCTGGCAAGGTGCCGAGATGCGCCGGGAACCACAGAACGAACACAAAAGTTGCTCCCCAAGGCCCCTATGGGGTCTGTGATCCGCCCTGGAATTCGGCCACATGCGCACAGGTGAGACTGCATGACTCTCTGAAGCCGGATCGCCCTGGCTTGTCCCAATGCTGTCACTACGCGACGAGCACAGACGCCTGCAAACGAAACGTTCAGCTCTGAGGCCGTTTGTAAACGTGCCACGGCTGGGGACTCAAGCAACTACCCGGGGCACGCAGAAGCCGGCACCACAACACGCGCGCGCGCAGGCTGTCCAAAGGCGTCGCGCCCGGCTGCGTGTCGACCTACCGAACCTGTCGAGCAGGGCGGCCACCACCGGCGAGCATGCGTCAGCGTCCTCGACCACCATCCAGACGATGTCGGGCACGGTCAAGCAGCGTCTGCCCCTGGCGCGTCAGCTCGGCCACCTGCTCCACGCGCCGGTAGGTCGGCGTTACCACGTAGATGGTGCTGGTGTCGGCGGCCGCGGGGGGCACCACATGACGCCGGTCCTGCCGGCCCCGCGCCGGCCCGTCAGCAAGCGCTTGCATCCATCACGCACGTGGCGGACAATGGACAATGATTGGACGGAAAAATTCCAACCATGGTGACCAATGTGGTTGTAATGGCAGCCAGCTGCCCCAATTTCAGCGACTCTTCTACAGCATCAAAGCGTTTGCTGCAGCTAACATTCAGGATCATAAAACAGCAACCTTAACTATTCATAGTCCACAAGCATTTATTCGGATTTACATGGGAGAAGCCGAGTGCCAACCTCGGCGTTTCATGGCATTCTGCAATATAGGGGCGGATGGTTATGGATGGGCTGAGGAAATTCCCCTTCGGGATCCACATCATATGTGCTAAAGCAAACTAAAACCAGGAACAGCGATCCCATGCCTAATCTTATTTTACATTTAGGTTATGATACGCTATGTTCTTCAGGAGACCCCCCCCCCCCTTAACTGGGTCAAACGAGGCCAAGTCACATGCTTGCCATAGTTGCAAAGCTACATAGAAGGGGGAAGACTTGTTGAAGCGTCATTTTGGCCGTGATATGACGGCTTTCTGGGCTAAATCGACAGTAAAATCAATCCTTGACCCCGTGTGATCTCGGTCTCAAATGAACTACGCAAAGGCCAAGAATGGCATACGTTTGTACTAAATCATCGATTACAACGTTAACAGACAGCAGAATACCGAGCGTACAATGCTGACAACGCGTCGCGCGGCGCCAAGTTTCAACCTTTTCGCCGCACAGACATTCGAGACATGAAGAAGTATGCTTGACATCTGAGATACGAAATATTGGTTTGATGTACCATGTATGGATTTTGAGAAACTCCTCTTAATTTTTCAGCATCCCCTGAATTTCAGAGATACAACACATCTCCGGCGGCGCTGTCAGTGGTCTATTCAAGGTTCAAAGTTAAAGGAAGTGTTTGACATTTATAAAGGGTTTTGGGCTGAAACGGCCATCTTGAAGATCATTTGGTGGCAGTTCACAGCCCTGTCCTTAAGGCCTAAAGAGCTCTAGTTTTTTAGCTACACACCTACTAGCATGTGCACATTATTTCACGCACATTATTTCAGGTTTACTGAAGCATCCATGACCTCACCATGACACCACTCAAATCCTGCCGTTTCACTGGCCAGACAGGATTCAAGGTTAATAAAGGACACTTTTGAAGTGGTCAATCCTAACTTGGTTGCCACAAAAACATTGATATTTTAGGGCAGGTGAAGAGCATGTTTTCACAAAATGGTTTGTACATTTTTTGTTTCCATTGCAAGATAGCCATGATGGCAGATGTGTATCACGTTTTATGACAGGCAATACACTGCTACATAACATGTGGCTGGCAAATGCCATCCTAGCAATCAGCTGATGGGTTTTCAGAGCAAGCAGACATAATGAACAAGACTGATTGGAGTATAGCCACATAAAATAGCTTAATGAGCGAGTACAAATGACCTTCTTCCCACTGGCGCTGTTATCAGCAGCCCCTTGGGTGATTTTTACTTCTTGTTAGGGTCCAGCAAAACTTGGGAAGTGATGCTCCCTCAGGACCTGAAAACAACTCGACCCATAGACAATGCTGCTGCGGGTGCTTAGCCCCTCACTTACTTGTTATGTAACTTATGCAATATCCTTGAGTATATTTTGGCAAGGCATTTTTGGGGAAACTGGGTGTGACCTATTCCAAGTGAAAATATGGACATCCTGCTTGCTGTTAAAAGGGGCACCATTGTAGCATGCATAGGACAGTATTGGAAGCATGTTGTTGCTTTGGATACAATTCATGGGGAAAAGGAAAGCATGACTTGAGCTATTCTTAGGCATTTGCTGCCACATCTAGTATGTCTGGCTCACACAGGTCACCAGACATGCTTACTGATATTTCTCTATTCCACCATGCTGGCCGACTAGGATTATATACTGGGACTGCAGCAGGAATCTACTGTTTGGATATAAGCAAGGAAAAAAGGAGGAAATGACATTTACAAACCTAGCACTACTCAGATACAGTCAAGGTGAATAATGCAACATTATGTGAGTTGACCAAACCCATCACCACTGGTAATAAACTCACCACAAGGTTTGACTTGCAATGTACAGTAGTTTCAATATCTCCAGGTTCATACTCAGGGGTCTTCAAGAAGCTCTTGTTTTGCAAGAGCAAAAATGAAGAAACGCCACCAAAACACAGCAGCAGCAAAATGTATCTTTTTTTGGGCATGGCCATGAGATGACTCACCATGTTTGTGATACAAAATATATGGTATTATGGGCAATAGGATGCCAACAACAAAAATTGATACTCAACTAATTTTGGCTCTACATTCATATAGCTAACTCAGCTCTTTAATCTAAACAACAAAGGCAGCCTTTTACATGACTTGGGCCATGAATACAATTCACAGGTTTCTTTACAGAAAAGAAATGGAGCTTGAGAAGCTGCCTTCTACCTGCAACAAACAGGACAGTTAAGTTAGACCTTTCACTCACTCTGCTCATGGTATGAACTACAACATTGTCCCTGGGCACAGCAATAATGCCAGTACCTGTTATTGCATTCCCCTCTGTAGAAGCCACAATAAAGCAAACCCTTTTCAGATACAATCGCATAACAGTGGCACCCAATAGCAATACCCAAACAATATCAGACAAGAGATAGTGTGCATTTGCTATGAGTATAACTTAACACGCGCCCGGGTGGCCAGCTGGATACCCTTCGCTCAGGCGTGGGTCCATTTGACCCCTCTGAGATCTCAGGAAATAAGAGAGCTAGAGACACCAAATTCGCGGGGCGCGTTGACCTGTGCGTGAATCTACTTAGGTCAAAGTTTGAGGTTCCTAGGTCATAATCTTCGGGTCAGATAAAGTCAAACAAGGTCAAATTCCAGATTGGCCTTCAAAGAACCCCTAGAATCTAGGCAACTGTTCTATGCAAAAAGTCATCCGCTCAATTAATGTCAGTGACCTTGTTTGACCTTCTTAAGGTTATGGTGATCAAAATGATGTAAGACTGCTTTGAGGTTTTGCATTTGAATAACAACAAAGATTACGCTAGGCAGTGTGTTTCTAAAAACAAAATGTTGACTAGGGCCATTCTAAGGCCTATTCCAGCCTCTAGTCTATGGAAGGTTATAATACGGTTCCTGCTATCAATATATTCGAAACGAGTACCAGAAACCAGCCCATACAGCAAGCCTGAGAGTATAAAATAGGTTGGTTTTGATGTTGGTCTGAGATTTACACCTGACCCTGGTCAATCTGATGTTTATTCAATTTTTGTGTTGCCTAAGAAAGTATCGTAGAGATGTATCACTTCGTCCAACACTCCGACTATCACTTCGTCCGTTGTTTGATCGGATTGAACGATTCCCTAGGACTTGACTTCGCTGAAACCCTGGCCTGACTTGACCCTCCATAGGTCAGCGACCTTACACGGTACATCTAAATTTTTGATGCCAGATGATCCGCTATTCAATTGTCTAGAGCGACGCAGAATTTGGCGCGGCTACCCCGCGCCGTTCGGAAACCTTTCTCGGAAAACCTTCGGGGGGTAAATTTGACCCCCTACCCGAGCGCGTGTTAGCTAGCAAAAGTGGGAGACATTGATGGTCACTTCTCGGCCTAGCCTTCATGAATTCTCACATGATTCTAACATGATGGCTTTGGCCCGAAGTACACACAATGGCTTCCACGCAACTACATACCTTCGCCAACTTTGATTAACCCGCACCAGGCACGGTTAAAAAATCCAGCATATGACACAGACACACGTTCTCCGAAATGGCTAGCCCGATCGCCTTGGAATCTTCCCCAAATGATTCGGTGCAATGAGATGAGCCATGGAGAGGTAATACCGAGTCACCAAAGTTGGAACTGTCACCAAATTTCATCAGAGCCGCCGACAAATTTGGAACTGCAGGAGAGATTAGGTGTGGCACACCCAGTGGTAAATGCAAAGATCAAATTCTGATTGGAAGGATCGGCCACTGGAGGGGTTCAGTTATTGTTTTCAGCGACCGCGCGCGGACCTCCTGCCATCTAGCGGGAGATTTATCGCAGTAAGGAGCGGAGCGCACGCGGACATCTGTCATCAGTGCTTCATGGCGGCTCAATTAATACTTTATTAATGATAAATTGTTGTGTTATGTTGTGTTATGGCTATGGTTGTACCAGGCAGCTGGCTAGCCTAAGGTGGTGGGAGGACACAGTTTTGTGCGCTAGCATGCATTTCTCTTTTGACCACATCCAGCCCACATTTTACCTAAGACACCTACCCTGATCCACTTATGATCCCAGCATGTGGGGAAGGGAGTGTGATATGCTCCTCCTGCTGAGCTCCCCCACCCTCAGGTTCACTCCCTGATGCAGTGTTGGAAAGTTTGGTGTTTCCTGGTATAATGTACACCAGGAGGTTTTGTACTTTATGACTATGATTAAGTAAAATGAAATGTTTTGTACTTCATCATGATACAACAAAGTTTTTGGAAAACCTCATTGTATTTCCCTGTTTCAGGACAAAATTAAACCAGAGATTTAATTAAACAAAATTAAACCAGTGCAACAGCTTGAGGCTTGCTGCTTCCATCATGAGCGGCTTATTGATATCTGCAAGAGCACAAATCTTGCACCTACCAGACTAAGATGCCCAATAGCAAGCAGTCTGTGTTACCACCAAGGCATATGATGAATGTGAAAAATAAAGTGTTGCTGTTGTTGTTTATTGGAGTTTCAGGGCGTGCTGACTACTGTGGTCATTTTGAGCCCATAACAGCTAAGTGACTACCTAAGAGGGTAAATGGCTAAAAATGTTTATAGGTCAGAAATGAAAAAGGCTGAGTTGTGGCAGGAACACACCATCAATGATGTCCGAATATGTGAACCCATTATACCATATTGATAAGAAATTTTTGGCGACCTAAAAACTTCCTACATGCAGTATGAACTATTCAAGCAGGTGTATATAAATTGCAGAACTTAACATGCGATAGAAACCTGAGGGTATGTTTCATACATAGTGAGCTGTCACATAGTAAATCAGAGAACGTCAGGGACGGCGCTGCCAGGCCAAAGTACCTCAGATGCTCGACGCATAGTATGGGGACAGCATGCAAGCACATGTTCTATAGTGTCTATGTATAGTTGCAATGCAAATCATTTACATTCCCCTGTACTGTCGTACCCTCCCGGGCGACCATACGAAATGAACCTTATGGACTTTGGAATAACACAGAACTTCCCCACCGATCGTTACCACGCGTTTCATTGTTTGCACTGAACCAGACAATACACGAGCTGATCCAGCTCCATGAACACCACATTTGGCGACAAGGTATTTTTCGAACTCGCCGGAGAGCTTACAGTACCCCAGAACTCTGTACCTAATCTATACGGCAAGTTATCTGCGTATCGAGGTGAGCCGAGATCCGTGTCTCAAAAATGGGGCTTTCTTAGTGTTTTGGCCGCAAGACATTTTGTTCTCCACGAATAGACACTGGAAAGAATGTAAAAAACCTGTCTCAGTAAGCGGCGTCAGATGAAGGCAACCTGTTCCTGCAACTTCAACAGCATCACGCACAGCACTCACCACTGAACAAGCAACACTGCTTCCGGGTTACAGCCGAATATCTTCACCATATCACAAACAATCTTTCCTTGCAATGCATTCAGTGCTCAGGTCTGTTGCTGATCACCAGCACATGTTAAACCCACCTACCGTCCAATAACGACACCAACGCGCTCACACACCGGGCCCGAGCCCGCACCCAAAACAACAACAGCGTCTCTTGACGGACCAGGGAGATGCGCAGAAAATATTTCGTACACCGCGCGATTCAGCGTTTCTGGATGGCACGTAGAAATAATAGTAACACAAGAAAAACTTATGCGAAAGTATATGATGTCATATGTACATGTACCTCTAAATATGGGGTGAAATACTTATATATTGATGAGTAGATCATTTTTCATCCTTTTATATAGCGCTTTTATCAAAGTTGTATTTGAAATTATCAAAAATGGGTACCATAAAGAATGTATGATGATGATGATTTGGGCTTTGGGGCGCACCAACTACGTTGGTCATATGGCGCCCATAAAGAACGTATAATGATGACGTCAAAACGCCACCACAAACACTACCTTGGGCACGTGGAAAATCACGGCTCTACGAGTCTCCAGCCCTTGGGGAGGACTTAACATTGCAGAAGGCATATTCTCCACCAAGAAATCAGAGCTGGATGCGTGATGAAAATGCATAAAAGGGTCATTACACAAAAATATGGAATGTTTTCTATCAATTTACAGAAAGTCGCCACAGAATCATGACCTGAGTATAAAGCTAAAGCAGGGTTTCTTGTTCTCTGTTGACCATAACTTTTACTGATGCATTTATATCATTATTGACATTTTTTATCTACCTTTCATTTCAGTGTGGGAAAAACCTCCATTTTCTGATGGATGTGGCACCAGGAAATTTTGTACTCCAGGCTCTTGACTGGTAAGAATGACAATTTTTGTACTCCAGACAAACGCTGCAGTCGCCCCACAAAGCAGACACCATTGCAAATGCATGAGCCTGAGTATAAGTACCAAGGCAGACAGTTTTGCTTTCTTGATAGCCAGGAGGGTGCATGAACTTTGCTTTCATAAAGTGAGTTATACCTTTTATTTGATTTCCAGGGACAAAACATATGGAGCACCAAGAAATGGATACAAGCATCTGCAATCCTGCAGGAGCTGGCCAATCCTGGGCATTCATGTCAATGTCCTTCATCATTGTATTACATGGGTTAGATGCACTTGTACAAGCCTATGCAACTCCTGAATGGTGATGCCAACTCATGTGAATCACTTCTGTGGGAATGAAATAAACTGAAATATGAAATGTGCTTGTTTTAAGTACCTACCGCTGCCACACACCTCGCATGTCATTACCTGTGGGGAAAATATATGGCGCACCTGAGTAAGTAAGACCGCATTCTCCACGACGCACGCACCTACCGATACCTTTCAAGAAACGGACAAACATCACGGCTCTGGCTCCCACCGCGCGACGAACCCATCGCCTCCCGTACCAGAAACCCACGGCACCCCAGCCTCCTCCAACTGACGAGTGCATTTTCGTGCAGTGAAGGTCCGCGTCGCAACAGACACCTACAACAATATTCGTTCGACCAGAAAACCACTAGCAGCACCAAAATCATCGATGGCACATCTTTTTAAACTAGGTCATTCAAAGACTCGCCGAGCAAGAAGTCCAGCATGCCAACTATGCTCTTAACTTACCTCATATTAAGATAACATGTTAGCGATTTTACCAAAGGACGTGCATCTTGCAAACAGTTTGGTGAGAAAATTTCAAAGATTGCAGCATTGCACATCCTTTTCAAAGCGCCTGTTTCATTCCTGCTCCTGCCATATGAGCCACCAATCACCATCCAACTTGCAATTAAACTCAAAATCATAGCATTCAAACACACCACATATCGGCACTTTTGAGATAGAATCATGACCTTAAATGGCACCCGAATATCACTTTGTAGGCGGCACTTTTGGTGGTAACGGCTCCTTTTGGGTTCTTAAATGTCATCGGGAATTACGTTCCCAAAATGGGAGTTTGTGACATGCAGCATTCCAAAACTTATTACTATTGTATAAATGATAGTACGTCAACCACTTTTTCAGGAATTGGTAAATGTCAGTCTTTGAAGATTCGAGGATATCTTACTTATTTAACAACGGTATCATGTCTCCAGGCTCAACCAGTACCTATACTTGTAAGATAGAGATGGTCCATAACCCAGTGGGAAAAAATCGCAGTACTTGGTTGCCCTTCTCACAATGGGGCCTATGGGGAGACCCGGGGAGAACAAGCCGGAGTACAAGCCGGAGAACAGCAAGTTTTTAGCAAAGTTAGCCAAATTTAATTGAAAAATTTATGTGTTTTGGTATCGCCCAGATACGGGCCTTCCTCAGAGGGTATTGAAATGGCATGATATGCCTTAGAATGAGAAATATCTATAGATTTGTAGTACAGGTACTGCATTATCTCGGCGTTGTCTTGCGCCACCAGAAGATAATATATATTTGTAGGTGGAAAATAGCAACTTGAAATGCATGAATGTAAAGCTCTATGATTTTTCTACCACAAACTTAACAATTTGTGTTGGTGCAACTGCATAAATGGCTTTTCTTAGACTATTCATCACAGCCTGTCATTTCAGGACCGTCCCGTGGTACTTGTACTTGGTTGCCCCATTGACGAGTGCTAGAATGCCATCACAATGTCTGTGAATGCGCCAGAACTCCTGTGCATGGTTTGGTTGTCTTGATGTGGTGGGAGTGAGGAGGGCGAAGGGTGAGTGAAGCTGCTTGGGGTTATGTGCATCGTAGCTGCGGGTTTGAGGTATTCAGTGAGGCCAAGTGGAATTGGTTGTCTTCAATTTTCACACAGCATGCATCCACACTTCTAAAGTTACTTGGGATTTAGCTTTGGACCACTATTAAGTCATTCCAAAAAAGGTAAATAAATACCGGGGGACTGATCTATAAATGTTTACTGCTGCATGCTGGTACAGAATCACCTTGGTATAACCTACTCTACCTACAGCATGGTGGGTAGGTACATAGGTACTAAAATATCTATATACAACATTAATGCTAGGCTTGGGTTTCCCATGTGGGATCAAATATGAGGCTGGCCCCTTTTCAGCCTGTGGTTATAATTGCTGTAAACTGACAGGTGGCAATGCTGCCATGTTCTTTGCTGTCAGGCATAAGGTCTTGCAGTGACACTACTAAAATTGCCCCTACATAGGATCATAGGGAACTTGGAGAAGAGGAGAGGGATAACAGGAGCTGCAGGAAGAGAGGAGGAGCAGAAGTGCAGGAGGAGTGGAAGGAGAAGAGTGACAGAAAGAGAAGGTGAGGAACTAAAAGAGAAGAGCAGAAAGAGAAGGATAGGAAGAGGAACATTTTTGGTATGTTTATATTAATTATGTAAAGGCCAAAAGGACAACATGTTAGTGATGTCACATACATAAGGCTTTCATAGCCAGTTGCAGCTGCCTAAGACTCATTAAAAAACCAGGGTGTGATGCGCAGTGGTTGTCCGCAATTCAGTTTGTCAGTAAGCAGAGGATGCACCTGATTTATCATTTTGATATTGTGTAAGTTTGCATGTAGATAGGTAATGATAAGTAACTAAGCTTTGTATGATGCACCTGTAAATGCATATGTATAAAGCTTTGTTGTTAACCTCTCTAACTGTATATTTCTCATCAACATGTACCATTACTCGATCTTTGCATGTATAGGTGAGCTAGTAGCACTACAGGGATATGGATGGGATCATTGTGGCACCCTCACTCACAAGAAGTGCTCTGTTCCACTGAAATGCAAAATTGCATGCTGACACTAATTTTTGCCAGAAAAACATTGGGAAAATGTTGACCCATTAAAGGCAGTATGTGATGTACTCCAAGCAAGGCCCATTGTGCAGACACTCATTCCACATTAGACAGACCTTTGCTCGCAGGCAAGTTTGTACTCCGACCACAAAAAATTTGTACTCTGCCACCAGCAAAAAAAACTAATTTCCCACCCTGTAACTCATTTTAGTCAAGTTTTGCCCACCAGTATTTTTTACCAGATCATTAAGATCCTAAAAAGCAATATAAAAACCAATAACCTGCAGTGGCTGTCGTTGAAGACTGCTATTGCGTGCACATCAGTTATATAGCCAACTGACCTTGTTTTGGAGTAGCTGTATCAGGAGAGGTGATGGCCCACTGATTGGTATTATAGACACAGGCAATATATAGATTTAGCTCAGTGTCATACACTGAGAAAACTATTGTTTCAGACTCAAAGCTGGTGAGTAGATTTAGTGATGCTAACTTTATGTGGCTGGATTGCTCTGTGAGGAGGAAATAATTCCTCTGCCCCTGCTGCATTGGCCTCTGAGACCCGATCACGCAGCAGCCTGATGTTCCAGGTGGTGTAGTTTTGCACATAACTTTGTGGGGGGGGGGGGAGGGGGGGGGGAGGGGGAGCAAGCAGAGAAATATTTTATCCCAAACACATGGTACAAACCATGTCCTCCCCAACTTTGACTGGGCTTTTTTTCTCAAAGTTGGCATGGGGTTAGCATCCTATCCAACTAAATAGGGAACTATGCACTTGTTCCCAAATTAAGTACATCTAGGTCAGTAAAAGCCTAGGGTTAGGAAGATTGCACCTTGGCTAGAACATAGCTGCAATAACTACTATGCCCCAGATGCTCCCATTTATATTGTGGCTTGCATGACAGTTCAATCATAAGCCTAGCATTATGTGCTCTGGGGAATAGTATGACTGGTGTATGACATTTTAAGTATCTGCTTCCACCAGCCTTTATTGAGACTGACACTTTCATGACAGAACTTTTAATATCAGCAACTTTCTATCAGCTCCATAGCTTAAAAATGCAGTAGGTGCAAGCATAGAATTAGGAAGGAAGCACTTACCTATGAAGCTAGACAATTTATGAATTGCAAGCAGCCAATTTCTAATGGTCTTTGGCAACCGCTGACATCAGCAGGAGTATGGTGTTAACTATTATCTGCTCCCAAAGAATGTCCTTCAGTGCCAGCTGTGAATGCAGTGCAAATTCACCTGGGTTTTTTGTTCTCACTACAAGCCGCGATTTTAATACTTTTGTTTTCTCCCCCAAGATCCAAAACCAAATTTCAGATGCTGCCAATACGGCGACCGCCATATTGCCGCCCGCATTACCGCCGTTCGACCCCATCGAACAATCCGTGGGTCCGCGATGGACCAAATGGTTACCCTGCTTTGATAACTACCTGATCGCTGCAAATATCACTTATACTAACCGAAAAAGGCCCTGCCACCGCATTACGCAGAAGCTGCGCGCAACATATTTGACGCGCCACCGACGACTTCCGACAAAAACAGGACGGATTTATATGGCAGCACATAAGACGCTTTGATGTCGCACTTCAGCCCGAAGATAAACTTCCAGTTTGAAGTGTATACGTTCCAATCTGCGTACTAGGAGAATGGAGAGACTCTGGATCAGTTTGCAACCCGTCTGTGAATGCTCGCGAAGTGGTGTGAGTTCACCGATGTAGATCACGAAATTAAGACTCGCATTATTCAAGCCTGCAAATTGACCAGGCTTAGACGTCGCGCACTGCGCGAAACAATGACCCTCACCGAGCTGCTGGCCATCTGAAGAGCGTTGGACATTTCGGAAGCACAGGCTGCAAATATCGAGCGCGGTGCTGATATGGCAATTAACCTTGTCCAAACCTACCGTCCCCGGCACCATCAAGCGCCTACCAATCGACACAAATCCACGTCGACGCCGCAGCCCTCGACCACATGTGGGTTGTGCGGGGGAACCTACCCGCACGACGGTGGTCCCACCAAGTGTCCTGCACACAGAAAGACACTCCTCAGAAGTGAACCAGCCATCACGAGACTTCCTTTTAGCGACTCAGAGAAGCTCTGAGTAGCTCTGGAAGGATGTCCTACTTCGATCAGAAGAAGGATACGTGCCCTATCGTAGACGCCAGTCCGCACGGACTCGGTGCCATCCTGTGCCAGACCACACCTGAAAATCCTGAGGACATCAAGGTAATCGCATACGGAAGTCGTGCGCTGACCAGCGTGGAAATCCGGTATTCGCAAACCGAGCGAGAAGACCTCGCCATCGTCTGGGGATGCGAACACTTCCACCTGTACATACACGGCCAGAAGGTGAAAGTTGTAACGGACCACAAGCCCGTGCAACTCATCTGGAGCAACCCCGCGTCGAAGCCTCCAGCAAGGGTCGAGAGCTGGGGTCTGCGCCTGCAACCGTACGATCTCGAAATCGTCTAATGGCTCTCGAGGAAATCCAGACCTACACCGCAAGAGATGGAACTCTCCAGGTCCTCAAGCTGGTGAAGTCGAACCAGTGACACACCGTCACTCACCGATCTCAAGAAACCGGTCGAGACGACGTCGACTACAACGCCCTGAAATGCTTCGCGGCCATCCATGGAGATCTGACTTTAGAAGACAACACCGTCATCCTTCGTGGAAATCGACTGGTCATCCCCGCTGCGCTGCAAAGCAAGACCATCGCCCTGGCCCATCAAGGACACCAAGGCATCGTCAAGACGAAGAGAGTCCTGAGATAGGAAGTGTGGTTCCCACGCATCGATACACAGGTGGAAGCCACCGTCAAGACCTGTGCTGCATGCCAAGCCACCGATCCAGTTCGACAGAAGGAATCTCTTCAGATGTCACTGCTCCCAACTGGACCATAGAAAGAGTTGCCTGCTGACTTCTGTGGACCCTTGCCATCGGGCGAATATATCTTTGTTGTAATCGACGACTACTCGAGATTGACTAATACCAGTTGATAGACGAATACCAGTTGTTCGTACGACAAAATCAACCTCTGCTCGTACCATCATCCCCCATTCTGGACGACATCTCCTCGATGTTCGGGATTCCCGATATCATGAGAACAGACAACAGACATCCGTTTAATGGACATGAGTTCGCTCAGTTCGCGAACTACATCGGCTTCAAGTACCGCAAGATCACCCCGTTGCGGCCAAGAGCTAACGGAGAAGCAAAACATTTCATAAGAACGCTATCAAAAGCTGTGAAAGCTGCTGTCGTCGAGCAACGCCCGATTAAGATGAATGCACCAGTGTCTATGAAACTACCGGTCAACACCGCATACCACTACTCAAAAGAGCCCGGATGAACTACTGTACGGTCGCATAGTGAAGACCATGCTGCCGTCTCCGATGACGACACATCCGGATGATGGAAAACTCCGCGAGACGGACGCAGCCGCGAAGAAGAAGATGAAAGAACAAGCTGACCGTGGAGCCAAGACGACGAATCTTCAAATCGGAGACCAAGTTCTGATCCCCGAATTCGAGAAGCGAAAGCTGACACCTCGGTTTTGCCCAGCGCCGTACGGAGTGACCGGAATCCAAGGCACCATGGTCACCGCATCACGTGAATGTCACGGGGTGACGAGAAACGCGTCGCTATTCAAAGCGTGCCCGTACCTCCATGGACAGGATACTGATCACTCCGAAGAGGAGGACGAAGAACAGGCGATGGATGACATCCTCGAGTCCATGCGGCGCCACACTCCTACTCTCCGCGCCGCTCCTGCGTCCTCCCACGCCACGACCTTGTCCCCGGCGCCAGTGTGTTCCCCGACCATGCGTCACCGCGCGCGGCGCCAGCCCGCGTGGATTAAGGACTATGTGTAAGCAATCATCTGGAGAAGGGGAGGGATGCGGTGTCTATGTACCGTTGCAATGGAAATCATTCACATTCCCCTGTATTGTCATACCCTTCCGGGCTACCATATAAAATGAACCCCTGTTGACCTTGGAATAATAAAGAACCCCCCTCACGGACCGTTACCACGCGTTTCATTGTTCGCACCAAACCAGACAGCGCACGAGCTGATTCAGCTCCATAAACACCACATGTTCCACTGTGAGCGTGGCGTTGCAATGGCAACATCGTGGTAGTTCGTCGCGACATAGTAAGTATCGATCTGCAGCATAAGTGTGGCCAGTCCCCAAGCGACACAGGATAACTTCCTCCCGTCTAGACCTTCGATAGCATGACTGCCATTCCTGAACAATCGGCTTAATGCCTTTCAATTTACTGGTGCCCATCGCATCCCATGTGCTCTGCCATTTCCCGCGCAAAAAGGTAGAGATGGCTGAGTATAGGTCTGTAGCGGGTATTGGAAACGATCTGCGACAGGGACGAAGAGTAGCGCGCTTTGCGGCAGCGTCAGCCAGCCCATTTCCCGCAATGCCAACGTGGCTCGGAATCCAGCAAAGTACTATGGTCTTGCCAACCCGGTACAGAGTGTCGAGACGCATAAAAACATCCTGTGTAAGGGGATTTACCGGATAAAAACGCCTTAATGCCGAAAGGGCACTTAGGAAATCCGACAAAATCACGTGGAGACTGTTTTCGACCACCTCTACAAAGCAAAACGCCTTAATGATGGCCACAACCTCTGCAGTATGCACGGACGCATGGGGTGGCGGTGTAAAGGATCGAGTATCGCGGCCACACACGAAGGCGGAACCAACACCCGTATCCGTTTTGGAGCCGTTTGTATACATAATTGTGAACCCCCGATACGTTTCGATATGTTTCAGAGCTGTTGATCTGGCAACACAAAGAATCATATTCTCCTTCCGAACCTCCGACAAAGCGACGTCGACAGTTGGCGATACTATCACCTACGGAGCGGTTGGCAGGCTACGTGGGCGTGCCACACCCCGAAAACTAAGGGTCTCCAGTTCCAAACAGTGGACCGTCCAGCCCAATCGCAGAATGGGTCCCTTAAGCCGAACTGGGATCTATGTGCCAATCATTTGACCATCTGCGGCGACCAGGGATGTTGTCGCGTCAATGGCGTTTCATACGTTGATCCGGGGTCAACTGCGCGGGTCAGAAGGCCTCCCGCGTCAGGGAGCGGACCAATGTGATGTGATATACCCCTCTATGTGGCTGCGGATCGTCCAAGGGATCACGCAACAGCAACCATCGCAAAGTGATGTTTTGGGATTTCTTCCAAAATCAGGTCGTACGGTTCAAGGCTTACACCGAGCGAATATGTTTTTACAACTTTGTCGCTGTTCTCTGGATAGCTTAACAGTTACAACATCACGAAAATAGACATTTTAGCCTTACTCTTCCAGTTCCACAAAGGATTCCAGGACCACTTCGCGGTGCTGGTCAGGCCCATTTGTTATTATCATCAATAAAAATCGGATATGTGAAATATACATCCAGAATATCTCGACCTGTAGGATTTGTGCCCTTATGCGGTCAAAGGCACTTCTTTCGAACGCATCGTCATTTTCGTCCACCTGTTGGGCTACGGCCTAGTGTTGGCCGCGGGGCCGACGCTGCGCGGCTTCCGGAGAATGCAACGCTTGGCGTCGAGGTTTTTGTCGCCGAGATATGCGAGCGTGCTTGCCCAAAATTACGTCACATGAATTACATCACCAATCATTATTCCGGCTGAATGTTGAACATGTCCAGACAAACATGGCTTGGTCATTTTGATGCAATTTTTGGAAACATTTTGGTCTCCGAGCTATATTTTTGCGAGGGTCTTGATATCCCTGCACAACCCAGATACAGATTTTGACAGTGTTTGCGTTCTATATCGGTTTAAGAAGAGTCCACTGGATTATTGTAAAATGAAGAGCGCCATCGATTTATTTCATGCAGTCATTTAACGCATGACCTTCAGTTCACTGACCATATAACTCCAGGTAGCATTGATTTCGCGGTAGCGCCCGGCCTCCACTCCTCCATTTCAGTTATACAGGGTAAAAATGTGTTGTGTATGCATACATACATACACATTTATAACATTATATATATATATATATATATATATATATATACATATATATTATATGAACAGCATGGCTCCACTAACAAATGGGCCATACCCGACGATTTTTTGTGTGGCCTTCGTCACCCCTGTGCCCCCATTGCCAAGGCTCTGGCTGCACTCCTGTGGTACTCCTGGATACTGTAGACACAAATAAGACAGAACGGGACCAAAGTGAGCCACGACTTCACAAATAAACAACGCGAGTTGATTTTGAACAACATCTTCGGCCGCCGGGGCATACGCCACCTCCAGAGGAGGGAGATGGCACCCAAAGGGAAAGGGCGCACGCGGTAGCGAGAGAGGGGGGGGGGGGGGGGGTAGGGGCAACTCCCCCAACTTGAAAGCTGTCGGCGCGGGGGAGT